TGTTCGATAAACTCTGATCTTTTTCCATATATTGATAAAAAGATTTAATTGGTTCTTTGTATTTTTGTGGTTTATTTAAATTATCTTGTTTTTTTGTCTGCATTTAGCATTGCTATGTCCTTATCTGCGGCAATAATTACACCATGTTTTGAATGAAGAATTATAATTTAATTTTGGGTTCTTTTCATAGATGTTTAGGATTTGAGTAGTTTTTTCTTCTAAATCATTGTCAGATTCTTGAATATTGTAAAAATGTGATGTTGTTGTCTGAACAGTATTTAAGCATTGTAGTTTTAAACTTATTTCCGTTTCCTATAGTTTCATTGTCATTTCAGCTTGTTCTAACTTGTATACTAGTTGTATACATGTATACTCTCTTTTGTTGCAATTTTCGAAATTGTGGTGTTAGATTTATCATTAGGATTTCTGTCATTTTCGTATTTTTGTAGTCATATATTTTGAGAGAATAAGCTTTTCGTACCGAAGTTTTGATTTTTTATGTGAGTTGTTCTATTGTTTCATTTGGAAGTCTATACATTTCGTTGCATAAAACTCTTTGATGTTGTTCATTTCGAACATTTTTGAAAATTCTTGTGTAAATTGTTTCCAACCGGATTTAATTTCTCTGGATAACACTGAAATTCATTTTGAGAGGCTCCATCGAGTGTGGTTTGTATTTGTGCTGTGCGTCTGTTAATCTAATTTTGATGTAGAGGTTTATTTATAGGTTCTGGGCCTATAATTAATACTAAATTGATTGTAAAAGCATTTAAGTAGTCTTCTACTGAGTATTCAGGATCTGTTCTTGTAAATAACATGAGTGGTTTATCAGATGTTATAGATGATCCATCGATAAGGTATGGATTCATTGTCATTTGCAGTGGTTCTGCGGTGTTTTATATTGGTGTAATTTTCGTAATTTGATTTTTTGTAACTTCATGTTGTTGGAAATAGTAAGGTAATGGGATCACGTTTCTCATTGATTCGGGTTGGTAACTTTGGGTATTTCTATATTTTTTTGATTGTATAGTTTTAATAGGTGATGCCAAGTTTTGTGGTTGAGGAGGTTGTTATTGCATTTGCCTTGGTTGTTGAAGGTTGTAAGGTTGTTGAAGGTTGATATATTATTCCAGTGATTTTTTCGTTGATAATTATTTTTTTGTTGTTGGTTTTGGTGAAAATAACCTTAATCATCAGAATATTGTAGTTGGTTTTTTTTGAATTTTCTGTTATTTGGGTTTTTGATTTAATGAAAAAATGCGTAATTTTCAGTTCTGTTAGTCAGATGTTTTCTTTTATCGTTAAAATTTACAGATTGGGATATTCGTTTCGGTGCCTGTTGAGTGCAATTGTGTTATTGTGGTTGATTTTGTGTTGATTTTGAGCGGTCTTACTAATATTTTTATTAGCGAAAAAAGCATTTTTCTGATTTGCAAAGTTGTTTCCAGAGTGTCTTTGCTTAATAGATAGTCGTTAAGTTATTAGACTATTTAATTGACAATTCATATAAGACAATTCGGAACGACTGATGGTTTACCCGTTGATTGTAATGGCATTGGTAGAAAAGGAGATTTATTCTTACTATGTGGTGTAGTACGTAGTGGATGAAAACGGGAAACAGTTTGTTGTGTTGTTATATATAGTGTTTCAACTATTTTTTTGTTTTTAAAGTGTGATAGAGTATGAATGTTTTGTTGTGTTAGGTTTCTAGAGACGCTGATTATTGCTTGTCCTACAATTAAATTTTGCGATATTTTTTAAGTATGTCTTGTCAGTTGTGAGTGGACTTACTCTTGAACAACCCCTGTGTAGGGAAATTATTGCAATTGCTGCACATGAAATATTGCTTCAAATATTCAAAAATAAAACATGAGACCATTCAAGGTCCCATACATAGTCTGTTTTGTCTGCCAATTTTGTTTCAACGTTTGTTTGTGGTCTGAAAGTTTTTGCTTGTAAAATTACGCCTAAATTGTGTTGGAAATAGTCTGTATTGAACCTTACCTGAATTCCTTGTAAATCATTTTAGCTATTTGTATTATCTCATTATCGGAGAGAGTTTCACAAATGGAGTCTAGGAATCAAGAAAAAAGAACAACTTCGCGTCTTACTATTGCGTGCCGAGATGTTTGTCGTGGTGATACACAAAATGTTTCATTTGTTTCTTATATAGAAAAATAACTTTAAAAAAATGGCAAAAACATCATTTGTGAAAATTGAAATTGCTCTTTGTGAGTTTTTATGGTGATTTTTTTGATATAATTAACTTTGCCACAATTGTGAAAACTTTGCCACAAATGTGAAAACTTTCGAAAAATCTAATTCTATTTCATCTCTTTGTATTCGATGTGATGGTTGATTTGATGATTGTGGAGGTAGAATGTCAATAGTAAATATGCCAAAATTTGAAGTGATACTACTGATACCTGGTAGATAGTGATCAAGTAATTTTCTTCAAACTTTTTACTTCCGGAAACTCTCACTTACATGGACTAATTCCTTTTTCAAAAAAATGAGATTATATTGTGGCAAAGTTGTAATTGCTATCTAGCGAGATAGCTTTGTGGATGAAAAACAAAGCGAAGTATAGAGTCATCGTCGAAGTTCTCATCGTTTCAAACAATTCTTGTGCCGATTTACGGTTAGCGTGTAACTTTCGATAAGTCTTGTTGGTCGATTCCAATTGTAGTGTCCTTCTGGTTTGCGAAGATTTAAATTTTTTATACTCCGTTTACCTTTTACAGATGATGCTGTTGTGGGTTTTGATTCCGAAAAGTGTCTTTGGTTTTCTTCAAATTTATTTTGTCGTGGGTTAGAGCTAAAAAAAATTGAAGTTCTTGTATTGTTGTTGAGTCAGATTCCGAAACTGCGTTTCGTGTTCTTGAAAACTTTTGAATAATGATTTGTGTTCGTTTTGCGATTATTGCCTTCTTTTTTGTTTGCTTTCTCGATCTGATGTAACCTATCTTTTGCTTATGCGGTTTAATTACCAGATCGTATCATTCTTTCTTAATTAGACAACTATGGAGAATGATTGTTTATTTTTTTCCTAGATTGTCTCTGGAGGTAAGTGTTAGAGTCATGGTTGCAAAACCCAAGGGTAAGGTTTTTTATGTCCCAAAATGTAGGTCCTTACAGTTTTTTTGAGTTTAACTTAACCCTGGGGATAAATTGTCGAGTATAGACGGGTTGGAGAGAGAGTCAATTTGTTAGAATGTTTGGATACTTTCTCATGTGGTTTAGTTCTATAAGAAACTTAGTCCTACTCAGGGTGTGATCTGTGATCAAGGGTGAGAGAATAACAAATCAACCCACGAGGTTCAAGTATAATTAGAAAACAATTAGATTGTTAGGTACTTTTTGATTCTTACTAATTTTAGGATTTGTTTTATCCTGAGTCGGCAAAGAGTGAAGGATGAGTAGCCGAAGCTCTTCAATGTTCATTACAAGTAAAATGGTTAATTATTTGAAAAACCTAAGTTAGTCTGGGTCGTTTGTAAAGGTTCGACGTTTGAGGTTGTTAGACAATTGTATTAAAAGGTGGGAAGACCAAAATTGTTTTAATTGATCCAAGAAAAGCCTCGATGATCAAGTATTTTCATAATGATTTGAAAAACAAAATTAGTTTAAATTTTAAAGATCTAAGGATAGCCTGGTTTGAAGAATATTCGCGATAATTAGAAACACGGATAAGCCTTGACAAGATTTGAGTTAAAAGTAAAGATGAATAAAAGACTAGCATTTTTAAAAAAAAGTGTTTAAAGTTAAAGATTTAATTGATATTAATTTTTTTAGTGATTATGTGCTATATTTCAGATGAAGAAACAATGAAGTACCAGGGGTGAGAGGTTGAAGATATGAACCCTTGAGAAGCAGAAACTTTCTATCATTTTGATAAAAACTAATTTAAATTTTTATTTTATACTATATATTTTTTGTGTTTTTTGTTCAATTAATTTTTAATTTTACAAAAACTTCAAAGTTACTTCATATTTGAGATAAATTGTTTTTGTAGTAGATCTTTCGTTTTGGTATTGTTTATTATTGGTTATACCTCATTGAAAGATATATGTCTCGGAAATCAACCTGACTGCTCCAAGTAATTTATTTCATATTAGAGATTGAAAATATACTGCATCGATGATCTTGTAGAGAAGTAGTCATTGAAGTCAGCTTTTTTTGTTTCACAACGTAGAAGCACGGTACACTAATTCGGTTTTGAACTGGTGCAAGCTTCATTAATTGTTGGTATTGATTAGACATATTGAGAGGTGGAAGTAAGTTTTCAAAACTTCTTAACATTTTGTGTTGTGTTTGTATCTTAGATGTTGTCTATTTTGAGTTTGCCAAATCTAAAATTGTTGAGGTCTTGTTTCGGACTCTTGGTTGCACCAGATGAGTTTTTGTCCGGGGTGGCTCACTCATAGAGTAATTTCAGATAAGGTGCACCGCCTGTTCATCATCCTATCTTACTTCGGCCGGATATACTCGGGCAACTTCTTAGTCTAATGCCGATCTTAATCTTAACTCTTATATCTCCTAGTTTCAATACACCTAGTGTATACTGGTATTTGCGAGGTAAGATACAAGGAGCTGTTCTGGAGAAGAGCAACTGCTGGCCAAGTTAAATTTATTCTGTTCTGGCTGAAACTATAAATAGTTTCAGCCTTACAAATTATCGTAGGTCTTAGTTATGGATCATGATTGGTTAGTGAGATTTTTTTAAATGAAATAGTTTTATCAATAATACAATTGGATATAAATACTAGTTTTAATTTGGTTCCACCATACCCACGACCTCCGACCACTTTAACATCAGTACAACCCGACCCCTCTGCATCCCCTTCACTATATCCCCCTTCTATGAAAAACATGCAATAACAAACATTGTTCTATTCTTTTTAAACTTACGTGTGGTTTTTGTACATATCTTTTTTCTGGTGCGATACAAATACAAATTGGTATGTACGCAAGCCATGCACTTTTAAGCGTTAAGCAAATCGAGCAAAAGTGTCATATTGAACAAATGAATGATCAATCTGATTGGACTTTCAATATGACTGTTTTGTGGTTTGAATCGACTAAACTTAATGAGTGAAGAAATTGACTGTGAACTGTGCAACTGTTCACAATTGGAGCAAATCAAAACTGCACGATCTTCAAACATGTCTGCAGGTTAGCTTATTTTCACTTTGATGACCTCCTGCAGAAATCAAGCTTGTTTTTCTGAAAAGGCTGTTTGCAAAAGTTTCAAGGAAGACTAAAGATTTCAGAGTGGGGTCTTATTAGACTTCTGGACTCAAAACACTGCCAGCACGCGTCAAAAACCGATGAGCGCTAACTGGCAGCCGACAGATGGCGCTCACTTCAGATTGTTTGCCTCTCTGACTTGTAAACGGGCAAAAAAACTAGTTCCAAAAAAGATTTTTTGAGTTTTTTTTTCTCTTGAAACCGTCCAAAAAATGGATAGCATAGGGTGATTCTGAGAAAAACAGAACCAGTTTTGACCGATTGATTATTTTTCCATTTACTATCCATAATTTTGTTTGAGAGTTCTTTTAAGGGAATCAGAATTCAGCATTTAAGGAGTTTATCTACAGTACAAAAATAGATTATATTACAATTATAATTGTAGTTTCATCAAAATTATAAGCTCCAAATTTCGATGTTTAAACAATTTATAATCCATTATAATGATAACATTTTTCCAGACAATATAATAAATTATAATCAATTATAAATGATTATAATTTTGATGAAAATCTCTTATAATCTCTTATAATCTATTTCAATCTATTATAATAGCTAATAATCCTTTTTTCTGTCAAAAATCTCTAAAAGTGAGATGTCTTTTCACTTTTTGGTTCATCTGAACACAAAATTTTACCATGAAACAAAAATTTTGTGAGATCCCTTCATTTTATTTGAAAGAATCCCGCGGTAGGTGAAATAAACTCTTCTATAAAAATCAGGGAACTAAAGCGGTGTGCTGATATTTTGGTGGTGAAAAAAACTCAAAATGTGCATCATGAAACAAATATAAATGAGAAGAAAAATAATTTGATTTGCAAACAGTTAGAACAATTTTCCCATTTTTCACATAAACCAAAGTCTACGACAAGCATAAAATATGAGCAATTCAGGCGCAACGTCGAAGACAAATTGGGCAAACTAAAGGGATTGTAAACAAATAATCTATTAAAATGGATTTTTTTCTGCAAAACAAAAGAATTAGAAATTCGGATAAAAATAATCGATTATAATGTTTTATAATTGATTTTATTTGATTTCAAAAAGAGAGATTATAACGATTATAAATTGATTATAATAAATTTTTCCCCAATTTTTGTAAGACTGGTATCAACATCAGAATATAATCGATTGTTAACGCTTATAACTGGAAGCAGTTAGGAGAAGATTGCTTCTGCGGTCATGATGAGGGGGAAAATGTTTTGTTGACCTCACCTCTTTATGGTTCCCAAAATAGATTCCAACCTTTATGCGCTTTTAACATAGACTCTTGAAAGGCTCATTCTATTTTTGGAAAATTTTCAGTCGAAGTTTGGTTAGTTAGATGTGATGCTCGTAAACCGCCGGTGAACACAAAAACTTATCCCATAATACAAAAATTGATCTTTTTACGTAAAAGCGAAGCTGAGCTTCGCAACACTTGCGATACAACACTCGCATAGCATTAGAAGCTGGCAAATTAAAATAACAGGGAACACTAATTGGAAAATTGAAATGTTGAGAAAAACTGCATCTGCAAATTTTTTTGATTCAGAACACACAATTAAGTCGCATTATCATCAGATTTAAACGAATTTTTTTTAGTGTTAAAGATTGAGCAGCCGCTTAGCTGGCACACTTCAGGGAGACGGCCGTTGAGCTGCCAAAATAAAAAATATACTTAGAAAAAAATAAAGCTGCTAGGCTCTATTCTTCAAAAGAAGAAGCATAAAGCGGCTAAGGCCGTACAAACTAAGCCAGAATGGTTTAAGCAAAACTGACTCAAAAAAATAACCGCTTACTTTGCAAATAGCACAAAATGTTTTGGCCATGTCCTAGTCGATCAAGGTAGGTTATCTTTCAAAAATTTGGCAAGTTTTTTTGAAAAATGATACATCTCTTTAGAAGATCTTGCGAGATTCTTTCAAGATACGCATGTTAACCTTCTTTAAAGTTAAAGAGAGCTTTTTTCAGCAAGATCTTTTATGAAATGACTTTTGTGAGAACAAAAAGATGTGCACGCAAAAGCAGCCAATGGAAAATGAATAGGAAGTGTAGTGCTGACTTTTGAATATTCCAACAAATGAACAAAAACGAAAAAGAAAAACTCTAACCGTATACTATAAAAGCAAAAGTGTTTATCGTATTTATGTGGTTGCTACATAAAAAATATCTGAAGCTAATTTACACTTTTTATCAACACAATGACTAAAAATTCGAAAAAAATTCAACCATTATAGTTGCAAAACTAGATGAATTGAATTAATTCAAAAAATCAGAAAACTAAGTTTTCGGAAATCTTATTTCAACATGCATAAATTATAACCAGAACCTGAAAGTTTTCATAACAATAGCAAAAATGATCACATAAATGAACAATTTTAAAACAAGTTCATACTAATTTTACTATCCGAACCTGATTTAAACTCAGAATATTTTGTGAACGTAGTCGACTTGGATCTCAATGGTGTTTTTCTGCCACCCAAAATGAATTATTGTGAAAAATTCATAAAAAGTTATCTAGGAAGATTCTTGCAAGATATTATCAATCTTGTAGGATCTTGAAAAATCATTTGCAAGATAACCCTCACTCGTAGAATTTTGCAAGATACTTCAAGATAATTTTCCTTGATCGACAAGGGTAGTCTTGAATTTAAAAAAAAAATCTGAACGAAAACAAAGAACTTCTGCATAGTTTGGCAGTCGTAGTACAATAGTACAATTAGAAATCAGTTTTTCCAAAAAAAACTGTTTCATTTTTTTGCACAATGTCTTTTGAATCTTTGAAGCTTTTGATTCCCAAAACATTGCTGGAAAACTCAAAAACTAACTTGACTCGACCATTACTAAAATTTTTGCGGCTTATATTTTTTGTAAGCCTGCTCGCTCGTTTTTATTTGCTCGAAACTAGACCGTTTCAAAATTTCTCGTTCGCATCATACCTGAAAAAATTAAATTTGATATATCACTCGACCCTTTCCGATGATAATTTTTTGGACCTGATTTTGCGTGGAAAACAAAAAGAAATAGAAGAAAAACTTTTAAAAAAAACGAATACAAAGTTCCTTTCCAATTTTTTGAGTGTTCGGAACAAAAAGGAGCACATCAAAGCAGAGTTAGAAAGTCCGCAAATAAAAAAAAACGAGGATAGCTGGTTACTGTACAAGTAGCACGGAATATTCCTATCATAGTCTTTGATAGGAATACTACAAAATGAACTTTTTTTCACATTAGTTTTTCTGCATTGGGTGATAAAAAAGTCAGATGTAAAACTATACTTTAGGCATATTTGACATCTTTAGACATATAGGCAAAATAGACAAAAAATTCAGAAAAGTGACCAGAAAACCAAAAATAAAAAAAAACGTTCACATTTTTCTGCGGAAGTTTTTGGTTCACAGAATGGAGCTACAAAACTGCAAAAACTAATTCTACTTGCTTAAAAATAAGTGTTTAGGGCTTAAATTTCTAACAACTAGGTTTTTTGTATACCTGATTGCTCGCTTTATTGGCTCGAAACTAGAAGAAAAATTGAAAACTTCGAATCATGACTGAAAAGGGCTTTAATATAATATAGCATTCAACCCAATACGATGATTATTTGTGTTACCTGATTTTGCGTGGAAAAAAAACTGAAACACACCCGAATACAAAATTCCTCCCCATTTTCAACGGGCGGAACAAAACACTTTACATTATTAAGGAAAGAATCAATTCAAAAAATTTTTATTTTTTTTTCGGATATGAACAGACAAAAAATCTATTTTCTGACAATTCAAAAGCTCAGAGAAAAATTTCCATTTCAATCATTAAAAAAAGAAAGTCTGTCGAAAAAAGAAAGAAATTTTTATTCGGACTTTAGGATCGAAAAGCGCGCGTTCTACAACTAAAACCATGTGGAAATGGGGTTGGAGGTTGATGAGGCTCGGTTTAGTTGCATTTCCCGGTTCCGGTTTAGTTCCGGTTTAGAAATCTTTGAGCTCCATTTTCTTACTGCTTGGTACAAAAGCTATTTACGGCAGAAAATTGTTTTGTTACAGTCATTTCGTCTCACAAGTGAAAAGTGAAACAATCGAATGAATCTGAACCAGTCAACTGAAAATGACTTGAGATTTTGCTAAATCGGTATCATAATTTACAAAAAAAATAAAGCGGGTGTTTACCAAAATATTATGTTTAGATTAGCAGAAAAATCAATTTTTTGGCAGTTCTATAAGTGTTTCAGTACTCGAATTGTGGTATTTTCGCTCGTGGATAATTTGTGTTAAGCTTGCTCACAATTGTTTGTAATATTTCCATGAGACACAAATCAATGTTTTTCTATGAAAAACATATTTATCCATTCCTGAAGCTACAATTCCTAGACGGTTGCATTTAATTTTTAGGAAGAGCAGATCCAGACTCTTTGCTGGACTTGTTTTGGGATCCTCTGTCGCAACCGTCCAGGTCTGTGAAACTGTTCCTTGTTATGTGCGGGATCCCACATACTGATCGTTTTGTGCACATCAAGTATGGCGAAAACTTAGAGCCACAATTCAAGGTATGTCATTGAAAAAATTCTATCACAAGTAACGTCAATCTTAGGGTTTGCTGTTAACCGTGAGTCCCAAAAACTTGAGATGAAATCTTCAGTTTTGAATTTTTGACGTCAAAAATAAAAATATCATGAAAGATGAAAGATTACATAAAATGATAAATTGATTTATACAAACAAACTTCAGATGGGGTGGGTCCTTAAAAGAATTCAACCCTCTCTGCCATGGTAAAATCGGTTGTTTTTTTTCTCACTTTTTTTTGTTTGACAGTGAAAATCCGCTTGTAGTGTATGCCTAGTGAAACCAGATCTGAACTAGAATTTATTATTGGATATTATTCTGATATTTTATCTCTATCATCATAATCCAATAAACTAACAACCCACTTATTTGTAAGTGCTGAAACTACTTGTAGTTTCAGCACCAGAACAGTTTAAATTAAACTTAGAAGACAGTTGTTCTCATTCTGGAACTAATTCGCATAAACCGGTGTACACTAGATCTATTGAGACTAGGAGATTAAAGAGTAAGATTAAGGTTGGTATTAGACTAAGAAGTTGCACGAATCTATCCGGCCGAAAATAAGATAGCGTGACGAGCAGACGGTGTACATTATCTGAACTTACTCTATGAGTATAGTATTCCATACATAACTCATCTGGTGCTATCAAAAGTCTCGAACAGACCTTAACTAACCTAGATTTAGAAAAAATAGATTAGAATTAGACAAATACAACATTTTTAAAATGTTATATGACAAAAACTAGTAGAAATGTCTCTACGACTCAATAGATCAGATCCAATATTCCGAACAATACGAGAACTACCCGGTATTGGAAGAAGACCTCGAACAAGAGACGACGTACGACGAGGAAGAAATCTATCAATCGACTTCATAATTGTACGACAAAAATCAGATCAAACTTTTATATTTAGAACACTTCCAGCAGTAAATTTAAATTTTCTTTTAGTGACATAAAATTTTGAAAAAAAAACATCTTCAATAACCTTTCATGCCGCTAAACCTAATAATTATACAATAACGACCGATAAAAACAACACTAGTAGTTTTCAAGGAGAACTACTCTTGTTATATCAGCTGTAAATTGAAAACATCTTGAAAAAAAATATTTATTGAATATAAAAGTACAAAAAGTAGTTAGTATAAAGCATAAATTGTTAGTATAAATAAATCATCTCTTCATCCCAGCTTCATCACCTAAAACATAACAGCAAATCTCAAAAACTAACAATCATCAAAACTAAAAAGTTAACTTTTTAACTTAAACTTTTATCATATGACTATCAAGGCTTATCCTCGTTTTCATTTAAATTAATTTCCTTTAAAATAACAGATCATCAAGGCTTCCCTTGGATCTTTAAATTAAAATTAAATTGTATCTAAATTTCTGATCATCAAGGCTTATCCTTGGATCTAATAGAACAATTTTGTCCTCCCCTCCATATTGATTAGTCTAACGACCTCAAACGTCGATTCACTACCTAACTCTTATGAAAGACCCAGAATTAACAGAATTTTTTTTCAAATAGCTAACCATTCTAATTAGGATAAACAGTGAAAAACTTCGTTTACTCATCATTCACTTAATCCCCTTCCTCTTATATGACCCAGGCTAAAACGCTTAAGCTTAGTAAGTCATAAAATAGTATCTAACGAACTACTTGTGTTCTAATTATACCTGAACCTTGTGCATCAATTTACTATTCTCCAACCCTTGATCACAAGTCACAACCCCTAAGTAAGATTAGGTAAGTCTATCTTAACTTAGAATTATTCACGAGAAAGTAAAAATCATACTAACGAATCGATATATGCTTTTCTCTCCAACCCTACAAATACGCCCCAAGTTAAGCTAACCACAAAAAGTCGTAAGAACTAACAGGTTAAGAAACTAGAAATCACTAACCCCAATATTGCATCCACCATCCTAAACCTTATGTCAAGAGACAACTTAGGAAACAAACAAACAACTATATTACACAACTGTTTATTTAACGACGAAAGATACGACCTCGTAATCACACCACACAGACAAACAATAGGATACAAAAGAACAAGAAGACAAACACTGAGAAAGAAAATTATTAACAAACAAAAACGAATTATTAGCAAACGATTTCCAAAACGAAGAAACGCAGTCTCAGAGTCAGAAACAAGCGCAACACAAGAACTCCACAATTCAAAAGACTCAATAAATAAAAACCATCAAATTGACGATCAATTGTATTTTTCTGACTCAGAAACCACGTCACCAGCATCAATAAAAAGAAAACGTAGAATAAAAATTGTTACACAAACAAACCAATACGTCTGTACAATTGGAATCAACCAATAAGACACATTGAAAATTACACGGTAATAGTGATACAACACAAAAATGATTCGAAATGAAGAAAACCTAGAAGTTTCAAGACTCCCATTTTTAATACATCCACAAGCTGAAGCTCGAGGACAGGTACAATTTTGCCAAAGTTTAATCACAACTTTATTCGAAAAAGGAGATAGTTTATGCAAAAAGGAATTTTCCGACGTAAAAGTGAAAAGACAACTTCTTGAACACTATCTCAAAAGCATATGTAGTCTCACATCACAATATGGAATCTACACAATAGAAATCAGTTCACCAAACGCATTTCATGACAAATATCTCATTCAAACTGATGAGGTAGATATTGAATGTTCAAAAATTTTTACAGAATACATAAAAAAATATACAACATCAAAACTCACAAAGAGCAAATTCAATTTTCACAAAACGACGTATTTTAGCAATAATAGCAATAAAAAAGAGAGCATCGCATCCTTTCTCAATCCGAGAACTAGATTCAGACTTAAGGAAACTAGTAGATAAACTAGAACGAGCAAAAATCACTATGAAATTAGAAGAAACAGAAAACTAAAGCGACAATATGTCAACAACATCCAAACCACTACTTCACAAGTAAATCATATTCTTGACTCCGATACAGAATGATCTGAAAAAATCACTGAAATCTTAAACATCTACGAGAAAAATCCAAATTTCAAAGGTAAACCATGATTTAAAAAATGGTGCAGTTATTGCCGAAGATACGGACGCACCATTGCCGAATGCAGACAAAAACAACAAGACAATCAAAACAAACCACAAAAAAAATAGAGAACCAAATAAATCATTATATCAGTACATGAAAAAAGATCAAAATTTATCCAACAAAAACGTTTAGCTCGTTTTGTCCGGTTAATTTAAATCAGCACTGTACAAGGAAAAAACTTTAACAGTACCTAAAAATCAATGCAGATGAACTTAACACTTTAAATTGAAATAATTGGGAGTCAAACTAAAAATACCATTTGTTAATCTGTTATTCAGAGCAATAATTTTTTGAATGCTTCTAGAAATTTATAATATTTTTGGGACACCGTAGCTCGTAGTTTTCTTTTCCGTTATCAAAACGACAGACACTTGCAGAATCACCCAACTCTGTAGATTGGCCATTAGTTTTTGGCAGAACGAGAGCCAAATTTGCATCAATGAGGTATTTTTTGATTTTTTTGAGGGCAACTTAAAAAATTTAGAGGGAGACAATTTATCGCCACTACCAGTCCCACATATTTCTTAAAACGGCTCTTTTTCCTACACCCCCCCCCACCTCACACGAGCATCAACTTTATGGTGTAAGTTGTTTTAGAAGGTTAATCATGAGAGACCAAATATGTTTGTCATGGGCCTAATTACACCGTAAGCCAATTTTCATAACAATCGAATAGGGTGAATAAATTTTTCATTTTTAAGTTTTAGCAAGCAGTGGGGGGGGGGGGGGGGGCTAGGAAAAGAGCCCTTAAAACTTCTTGATTAGCTCTTTGAATAGTGTGAAAAATCGAATCTTGTTTTGAATAAATTTTTTTAAAGAAACACCGGCAATTTAAATGTCGAACGATAGCAGTAAATTGATTAGCTTATTCAAACTTTTTTTCAGAAAGTTTCTAGTCTTGGAAGAGTACCAGTTATAAAAAGTGGAGAATTTGTTCTGAGTGAAAGTGCAGCAATCTACGATTACCTGTCTACCAAATTCTCTCATCTGTGTCCTGATTGGCTGTTTCCCAGCCAATTAGAGCAGAGATCACGAGTCAACGAGTACTTGCACTGGCATCACAATAACTTGAGACTCAACAGTGCGTTGCTGTTCCAAGAAACATTTGTGAAGCCGAAATTCAAAGGAATTCCAGCGAGCGAAGAAAAAACTTCACGTTACGAAAAAGGTACGTTTTGCTCTAACTCTCGCAAAAAGATCTACCGATTTGTCGAAGAATTGAAACTTTTTTTAATTCTAAGACAATGAACAATCCAGCTAAATTCTCTGGATTTGAACATGATACTTAGATACTTCGCTACAACAGAATGTTTCCAATGGGTGCGCCAGAGTACTAAGGAGAGAAAAAGCATACAAAATTGTCATCAATCAATCCAACCAACCCACCCAACCCCTGATTTCAAGCGCTGTACAATTGAGACAATCAAACTACTGTACTTAGAAAACCTTACACGGCATTGATTGGGGGTTATTCTGATGATGGAAGGACCAAATGGTGAACAAATTTCAACCAATCAGAATCAGTAAAAGTTTCTATTCGCTAAAAAAACTCTTCCAGTTAGCCGAAGAGAAAGTTAGTAAAAAAAAATATTTCTCAATTCTGATTGGCTGAAAATTTTAAGTAATCAATATTCGGTCCCTCCAACTAAAGGGACATCGCCGTATTGATTCATCAGTTTTTACCAAATGTTTTGAACAACAACCCAAAAAAGTGTCAGATTTGTTCTAAACGAAGATTAAAATTTATTGAAAGGCAAAAAAATATATATCGGCTGTTTCTGTTTGTTTTCAAGTATTGTTGAAGTTTCCGCAGTTCTCTACGGTACAGTAGTCTTTACTCAGAGATTATTTTTACCCGGAAATCTTTTCTCAGATTCATTACAATTTATACAATCAGACTGGTTGAGAGCTTGTGGTTATGATTCTAACATCACAGTCTTTCGACTTTAGCGCAATTTGACTCGAAAACTTATTCTCAAATAGTTTATTGTTCCGACTTTCGATACGAAAGTAACGGAATATTTGTGCTCGGGGTGGGTTTTTTTTCTTCAGACAAATTGCGACTTTTTAACTAGCCATTTTTGACGGATTTTTTTTTATATCATTCAAAAGGTATTGTTGCCCTGAGCTTAAATTTGAAAAGATATTTCACCTGTGATCATTTTTCGTAAAGTTATGGGGGTTTAAATATTGGCAATTTGGCCAATTTGGGACAATTAACGCGCGATATATTTCGCGCTATTAAAGCGTAAGCGGAGATTTAATCCGTCTAATAAATCGTTCCAAATTGGTTGAAGGAAGCTTATTTGCCATAATTGATTCGTTACTAGAAGCGAAATTTATCACTTTGTACTTTATATGGCGTGTGGGGGGATAATTTTCACAAAAAATCTCAAATTAAAAAAAAAATTCAGTTTATTTTTTTTTACATTAAGTTTTTTCCAGTTATTACTGCTTAATAGACCTTAAAAGGCAGTCGGAACATTCAGGGCTTCTCCCTGATATGAGCAGTCTTGTTTATATTTCAGGTCTGAAAAAAGCTTTGACAGAACTCGGTTCTTATTTCCTTCAAGATAAAACTTTCATCGCGACCGAGTTACGGCCTTCAATTGCGGATATTCATGGAGTTTGTGAATTGATGCAGCTGAGAGCGATTGGCTTCAACTTCACACATGTTTCCACTAAAATTGAATTTTGGATGCAGAAAACGATTGAAAGTTTAAACCCACATTTCGATGAAATACATGAAGAAATACTGAAACTAGGAAAACCTACCAACAAACTTTGAATTATTTCATTTGTCATTGCAATTTATGAAAGAAAAGAACCCATGTGAAGCAGAGGTAGTTTTTAAGATTATCAAGAATTGAAGAAGAAAAAAGACGATACGAATCTAGCTAGGATGCTCGCGATACGAGGAATATCAGAAAGTCTGAATTTTGTTAAGAATCTGCTTCACACTGCTTGTATTTTTACTAACACTAGCCACCAATAAAGCAGCTACAGTTTCTATCAAACTGCCAATGTTATACGGCAAAACTTCGACCAAAAAATATATCTATTGATATGTTCCGGATTTGAATATCCAACCTGTTGAGTAGAAGTCTCATGCCCTCACATCTGCGCCACGATCGCTTGGAGGTAAACTAGTGACCCAGTTAATTGTGGATCTATCTGTTCTTATACTTTCAATAATATATTGTACAGATACCGAAATGCGTAATCTTCAAAACTTCAAAAATAGAACTAACGCTAAACCGTAATATATCTCAGCTTAAGTAGTGAATTAAGCGCTTATTTAAAGGAGAAACAGCTTATTTAAAGGAGAAAGGTTCTGAAAATTAGTCAAAAATTCAAAAATTTGATTTTTTCAAAATCCATAAACTTTTCTCTATGAAAGCTTGGGAGTAACTTCTGCTTTTCACAGTCTGATTTTTAGATTGCAGATTTCCGCACCCTGATATTTTAGATTTAAACCTTAATATCAGATTTAGCTAGTAGTAGACAAAACTTCGAAAGAAAAACACGATAAAAATTGGAAAAAGAAACATTCCGAAGACAATGTAGAAAAAACAGGGTAGAACAGATTACACAGCGAATGTCTAAGCTCCATGCTAGTTTTATTGAACAATGAACCTCAGAATCAGCAGATTAAATTTAGAAAGAAATTACATTTACAAAAACGGGCAAAATTTCAAAAATTGGACAACTTCTTAAGCCATATTTTTTTCCAAACTCAAGTCATAGCCGTTTGCGCAGGTAAGATTTGCATTACTGGCTTTTTTCTTTGGGTTAGAATCCTAAGCTTCGATTTGGCAGAGTAGTTTTTGAAAAGTAAAAAGAGTTTAGATGATAACCAAAAGGGCAAAAATGAACTTGTTTGAGATCATCATTTTTTTAAACCAAAATTAGGGAATAGCTGCTTTAGAAGGGGAGATCCACTTATTTTTTTTGATTGAAATCCAGGCCGCAGATTGTGAGGTAAAACGAAAAGAGACTATCAAAATATGCAAGCACATAGAAGAGAGCCGATTCTCTATTGGTACCATGTGTTTTGAAAGTCGGTACAAAAGTTTTCAAGAAAAATTGAAGTTTTTAACAGCGCCATTAAGCGCTGTTGAAAATGATTAGAATATGATTAAAATTAAATATACCAAAAATTTGTTTAGAAAAAAATTACTTCGTAATAAAAAACTACGTTTTGCTTGCAAAAACTCTGAAAGTATTATTAAAGTTGAAATTTTGAAAGGAATTCAATCTGACCAATACCATTCAAGTTCACTGTACTTCGCAGCGCCGTTACAAAAATTAGCAAAAAAAACTGTGCTTTTTTACTTTTTTTCAATCGAATGATGGGAAAACTCAAGTTGACCGCGCAATGCAAGTGTAACATTGAATGCATGTTTCAGAACCTTTTCTAATTGATAAAAAAATTTACTAATTAAATCCAACTTCCTGAAATAAAACATTGCTAACAAACTGTTGAAAAAATTTCAATGAAAGTGACATTTTTGGATAAACCACAACTGTTGAACACAGAGGCGAAGCTGAGCTTAACACCAATTGTAATACTTAAAATACAAATAATTTGAAAATGTTTTGAAAATCAAAAGGAAAAAATTCAAAAAGTTGTTTTTTTTTTCAATAAAAAATGCAACAAAAGACCAACATATCCGGAAGAAAAATGCCTGCACCATTAGAATTTGAAAAAGTTTTGAGAAAACGTTTTCTGCGGAACTAGGCAGACAAAACAAGCAGACATACAGTAATCTAATTTAGCAAAATTTATCTATTTTCAAGAAAAACCAGTCTTAACTGAAATCGAACTGCCGGGTTTTGTAGTCTCAAGCATGGGGGTGCAGCAACTTGAATAAAGCTAAAACATCAAGCTACGGGAACTCCGCCGTCAAAATAAATAGACGGACGATAATCCGGAAAAGCACAAAAGCTCTTCATAAAAAAGGCCGGTCGGATTCGAACGGCAAATCTTTGCCATCTCGAGCAGTTGTTTTACCTCTACGCCAGATGATTGATTTCATTTGTTTTTATAATTACTAAGCGGCAGCAAAGCCGAAAATTTTGATCAGAAACACTTCATGCAAAAAAGAAATTCAAAAAATTCTTAACTTATGAAAAATGTAAAGCCCTTTTTCCCGTCAGAGTACACACGCGCACAAAACCTTTTTTCGGACGTAACGATGCAAAAAGAGACAACTAAAATTGATGTTATCAAGCCGAAGCTTATAAAGCCGATAGTAAAGACAAAAAAATATATATTTTCAGTTGAATTTTTAACAAATCCAGCTGGTTAAATTACAAATAACCTGCAAAGCAATATTCGATTCGACCGGATTTTCAAATTGCTTAAAATAACTGCAGTTAAAAGTGTTGCAGCTAAATTAAACAATTCTTAGATGTGGCAAGTACGCCAACAAAACATAAGCAGACAAAAATAGGCCGAAAATTTGAGTTTTCGTTACCAACAGGCTGAACTACAGTTTTCAGTCTTGCAAAATATTTCATTGTTTTTTTTTTCAAGTTTTTGCGATATATTTGAGCTCAACCATGAATTCTTTGCATCAGACTGTCGTTAAGATGTCTTCATAATGAATTCACACAAATAACTCATTTACGGACGAGAGCATTTGCGTGTCCCAATTAGAAATTTTTGGGTTCATTTGACATACAGTTTGATTTAAAAGAGGCGTTTAGTCTTCCAAATTGTTTGAGTTTTTTTTTTGATGCTTTTGAAATTTGTTTGAGCTCAACCATGTATCTATGTAGTAGTTCAAGAGACACTACAGTTTTTCCAGTAATTATGAACCAAGGTACCACCAGTTCAATGTTCCTTCGAAAAAGTTGTTCACGGGAAAAACCAGTCTAGTATCCAGGTGCAACACCCTTGCTATCGCAAGGTTAATTAAATCCAAAAAAATACATACCTAACCTACACATACTCGATTTTGAGGCCAGTCTTATTATTGAGCTTTTATGATTTTGACCAAATTTGAGAAAATTAAAACAATAGATGAAACTTTTCTACTGTGAAACTTGACACAGAGTTGAAGCAAAGCTTCGCACCACTTGCGAATTAACGATAATTAAAGTCCGATAAATGAAATTCTCACTAAAAAATTAATTTAAGGAAAAATCTTATCCTGACCAGTATCGAAAGCATAATCTTTGTCGTCTCAAGTTCAGATTTTACCTCCAAACTAAATGGATCAAATTGGTACCGCAAACTTGTTATACTATGCAAGTTAACAGGGCAAATGGTTCAGTGATTTTGTTAAACGAGTTGTTGACTCAAAATATATATAATTATATATTCCCCTTTATTTATGCTGGCTAATTGAAAGCGTGAAAAAAATAACCGTTCACATAACCAAAAAAAAATCAACCAAAGATAAAAGCAAAATGACAAAAATTACATTTACAAAAAATGACAATTTTTCATCGTTAATTTTTAAAATTTTATTCCGGACGGATTAAGATGGTGGCTTCAATTTTTTGGAAATTTTCAATCTCATATAATACTCAAAGAATAGAATCCAAAAATTAGGAAAGTGAGGCGACAGAATTACAGCCGACCGACCTCGGCACCAGAAATCTATCGAAACTTTTCAGCACCGACTTAAATTATTTGCAAATCTTAGCGTGCAGCCACTTAACATGCAGGCAACACAGAAGTCAACACATAGGCGCCACTTGCGTTACTAAAAAATCATTAAAATGAAAAACAAAGTAAAAAATAGTTTGAAAAAGAAAGAGATGAAACAAAATTATCGTAGAACTCGATGAAAGACACCTAGGGACCAGCTATATTTGTCTGAAACTTATATACTGATGCAGTACGAAATGCTCAATTTCAAAAATGGGACTTTTGTAGATAAGCAACTCGAAAGAGTGAAAACTTTAATTTTTCCGAAAGACATTAACATTTCTTTGATCGAACTTTTGATTTCAGATTTGATAGGGTACCTTATCAGAAAATGCTAAGAACTTTAAAAAGCGGTCCAAATTCAAAAACTTTAGCCGTTTATGCAGAAGAGCTTTGCCGAACCTGTAAATTCGATTGAATCCAAAAACCCGTTTGGCGGAGTAGTTCTTGAGAAAGGTCAAAAAACTTCAAAACAACGGTAAAAAAAACAAAATTTCGACATTTCAGTGTGTCAAAAAAAATGTAGTTGCGTATGCAAAGGGACTTCTCACAACAACTTCTTTGAATTGAACCGAACATCCCAGATATGGGAGAGTTTTTTCAGTAAAATTCGTAAAAGCTCAAACATCATAAAATTACCTTTCCTGAAGACGATAACTTTTGTGTATAAAAATCTGTGAGAAGGCGCTGATGCAAGGAAGCCGCACCTTACCCGTTATCTCCATTGGACCCACAACCTCAGGTTTGGAAAGTCAGTTTTCGAGTTGAAAAAATTAAAAAATCGATCAAAAAGCTTCTTGAACAATAACTTTTGTGTAGAAAGAATCTGTGGGTGGCTTCTTGTGCAGAAAAGATCTGCAACCTGTACGTTCGCTTGAGCCCAAAAATCCAGGTTTGGCAGTGTGATTCTCGAGAAAAGTTTCAACAAACGGGCAAAAAATCACTTCTCCGCAAAATTTTTGACTTCTCCGAGGGACATAATTTTTTGTCAATTTTTGTCAATTAGGTAGTCGCGTGAGCAAAGGAGCTTTTCACAACCCGTTCTCTGCATTGAACCCAACGTTTCAGATAAAGTTGGGTTTTTGCGGAAAAATTCATTAAAAAAATCATTTTTAAAAACACTCAAAAAATTGAACTTTCCGGGGATGATATTTTTTTGTGTAATACTTTTTAATAAAAACTCTAATGCAGGAAAGCGTCACTCTACCCATTATCTCCAATGAACCGCCAACCCCAGGTTTCGGAGAATAGTTTTCGAGAAAGATCGAAAAGTTCACAAACGTTCAAAAAAATCAAAAATTTCACTATTCACACGTCCAAAAACTTATTCGTACAAGAGTTTAGGCGTAGCTCTCCATCGCCGCTCTATTTACTGAAACAAAAATCTCTGATTTGGCAGGTTACTTGAGAAAACGGAAAAAT